TTTTTCTTTTTGAAAAGCTTAAAACAAATACTTTCGAATTTTTCATTTTCAAGAACTATCACATCACAAAGGCCAACGCTAGACGGGTGCTTCTAAAAAATAAGGACTGCAAAAATATTCAGCTACGCATTGCATTGATGACCATTCATTTTCACCCATTTGAATGACTTCTATAGGTGAATGCTACCCTGTCCAAACGAATTATTTACCGACCAATTGTCGCAATCTATACATGTTGTTGCTATTTATATCATTTTACACATACATAGATGTATTGCGTTTTTTTTTATAGTTGTTGTTTTGATATTATGATGACTCACTTGTATTATATGATAGTTGTGTTTGAAAAAATATGATAAGAAATGTAAAGTCCATAACTAATTTCGTCGTCATTATTTTACTAGTGCTTTTGTTAACTACATCCAAATAGAAGCAAGAGAGACAGAATTTTCCAAGTTTTTATTCAAAAATAGAAGAAATAGGATTGAGATCGAAATTTATTTTTAAAAATCACATACGTAAATTATAAATTACTTTATTTCTAGTTAGATTTTTCTGTATTTTTAACATTCTACTCAATGTGAAATTCTCATCTCATTGAAGATCATTAGTTACTATTTCTAGCAATGAGTATGAATAATATAACAGATACAATATCAATCGATTCTAATCGTACAATACAAACTTCTGGTTCGTTATAACTTTTGTCAAATGGTTTTCACATAATTTTATTGATCTCATTTCCGATAATATGATGCTTGATCGATTTTTACAAATTTTACCTGAAATTCATAATGAAATCAAATGGCTTGATCTTCATTCATCATCGATGAAAGATATTTTATGTGCTGCTGATTATCCTAATCTATATGATCTCGGTCTTTATAATATTGATGCAAAGTCAATTCAATATCTTTTGACCGGTAAGAAATCTCAAATGAATTGTTTTTATTGCAAACAAATTAAACGTTTCTCAAACTTATTTATCTCAATGATTAAATTATTGAATATATTGATTATTATTTTCCTATTAATATTGATTATTTAAATAAAACTCTTTCGTCTGCTATTTTCTTATTATTACAATTAAGAATAATGACAATTCTGAAGAGATACAATTGTCAATATCAAAGATATGTGATTCCATCTTCACTGTTTTCTCCTGTCTGATTACTTTAGTATTCTATGAATCATCGTATCAAAATCGTTTTTCATTAAAATTTATTCATTCACCACCTCCTTCTACATTTCGTTCTTGAACTCTATTGAAATTGAATGTCAGAATCGAATATTTTGACGTTTGTCTTTATCTTCTTGATGGTCGTTTCAATTAACTTCACACACTCTATGTTAATGTGATCTATATTTGTCATTTCGGAGAAATAGAGAATCAAGTTAGTTTTCCTAGCAAAACCTCTATGTTAACAAATAATAAAACAACTTTTATTTTTTAGGGTGATTTACCAAATCTAAAGTGTTTTTCTCTGTCATCTCATCTGGAAACATTTTCTTATAATGAAACTATTATACCACTTCTCTATCGAATGACAAGTTTAGAAGAGCTCGGTTTGTATCTTACGATTTGCGTTAATGAAACATTTATTGATGGAAATCATTTGAAGAGAATGATTATTAATCGTATGCCAAGACTGAATCAATTTATGTT